TCCCCCCCCCCCCCCCCTGAAAACACACTTTTTTCATGTCCTTTTTTTTCATCTTAAATTTTTAAAACCAACAACAGACGAACAATAACATGCTCTCTACTTTTCTCTTTTCTTCTCAATCTTCTTCTCGCGCCTGCACATTCCCCTTCGTTTTTCTATCCAATTACCACACTGCCTATCTTTTACTGTCCTAACTGAGATAAACTTAACAACATTTTTCGCCTCCACGGGGGACTAGAAATCCGGGTGTTACGAGTGTTACATCTTTGCATATCGACGTTCTGTTTCCATTAGCCTCGTTTCCACCCGTAACCTCGTAAACAAGTTTGACCCGCTTCGTGCGGTGGAACACTAAAATACATTCACGCGATACGCGGAATTTCACTCACAAGAATGATAGACTTTTACCTGGTAGCCGAGAGGCCGCGCGGAGATGTGGTATCTTCACAAGATTGCCGCCCGTGATGAAGAACAGAGTTACGAAAAAGACGGAACATGCAAAGATCGTTTTTACATAAACTTACAAACTTAATGCACTAAATTAACCCAGAGCACGACCTGTTGATGGGAGGTGGGTGGACCTCTTAGTTTCCGCACGATGGCGCCTAGCTGGGTGAAAATGGAAACATAATATTTTACGGGTAGGGCAAGAGGGGCAGCTTGGACCTCCTCAGAATTAGAACCTCGAGCCGCCTTTTTTTTTTTTCAAGTGGGTAACCAACTCGCGCACAGTGACCACGCCATCATTTTGAGGGCTTATAACAACAGACAGTATAATCCCATATCTAAGTTTCGGCTGTTCACGTCCATTCTTCAGAAGTAATAGGTCCTAGCTCCGCTCTGAGATCTAGAACATGATTTTGTACAAGACAGGAATAAGTCTTCTCCATAGTATAATACATAGCATTTTTATAGCATAATTCCCGCGCAACAGCAAGCACTTCTCTATGCCCTTTACAGTTTATCTATTCTGTTTATTATTACTTTATCGTGGAAATACCCACTCCTTTTTTTAATGCCGATCTGTGTATTCATTGCATAAGTAAGTGGTAACCATACCCGTGTTATTGTGGACAAAAAAAATAGGTAAGACAGTTTCTTTTAATGTTACGTTGAGTTAATTGTCTTAACTGTGTTATTATTTTCCCTATGAGCATACTTTCCTGTGGCACGACCTATAACCTGTACCTGGCAAATCCTTTCAATGGTTCCAAATCTTTGTCTCGGGCATTGAGAGCATTTTCAAAAGACCATGTCCATTAAAATTTCGAGGTAAGAGCGGAGCTTTAAAGAGCTTAGTCCTGCTATTTATTTCTCTCTGTAGGATGGAGTGGGAGTCAAATGAAAATAGAGTTTAAACACCTGAAAGGTCACTTGAGTAAGTTTTCTAGACATTGCAATAGTCACTCGAAAAAGTGTACTCTTTGCCTTCAGTTTAAGTTACAATGTGGTCTGCTATTTATGCATCCCTACTTTTTTCAGTCTTCCTCTGTCCCAAAATATTCCTGGTGAAACATTGCCATTTCCTCATTTGGTTGTACGTAGCAACCTGCAAGCAGTAACAGCAACCATTGCCCCCTCTGTCTCTCTCTCCATGGTCTGTGGCGATATCTTGGCGAGATTGCCACCCATAACGAATGTCTCACTGTGAAGTGAAATGCTCGTACAGATGCTGTCAGTCTAATAGACATGGCCCACTTTACCCAGACCCCCTGCCTCATACTATTTATACATTCTATTTATGTGTTTCTTGTTCAGGGGCTCATTGCTGAGAAACAAAGCGGGGGTTGTTAGTGGAGACACCGACCCATTAGAACACGGATATACCGTGCAGTGGCGTTAGAAAATTTCAAGTTTGGACAGAATACATCTGTCGCCGATTCATCTTTTACAAAGCTATTTTTATAGCGTGCAGACTATTTTTGCAATATCATACATCTACTTCTGGCATATTGACCCCACTGAACGGTACGCCTTTTACAACAATACCCCCCCCCCCCTTATTGCTGAGATCTGGGCTTTGGATATCTCGAAAGAGATATTAGGGGCTGGGGGTGTGTGGGGTGTGTGGGGTCCATCTAGCTGAATGTGAATAAACTAGGTTTCTTGACATCTGTTACATAAGAACAGGTAAAATCAATGAAGACACATTGTGCTTATGCCATAGACGTTATTCTTTTCACAACTTCAGTATGATTTCCAGTAATTCATCTTTTGGTTCAAATCTCTGTAAAATTGTCAAATATTTTACATCTGGCTTGCCATACTCGTTGTATTTTATGCTGCGTGTTTCCTCCAAGGACACGGCAGAAAAGACTGCTGCAGACTGACAGAAGTATGTTATTCATTTATTCATTTACATTCAAGTCTTGAAAGAGATACAGACACAATACATTAGGAGGATTTAGGCAGCCTTGGTGTCTTTAACGTAGCTAGTTATGTTCTCTCTGTCTCTTTCTCTTTCTCTCTCTCTCTCTCTCCCTCTCTCTCTCTCTCTCTCTCTCTCTCTCTCTCTCTCTCT